CTTACAAAAAAATTTTACGTAAATTCTTCTGACAAAATAAGGTCGCAGGTTTTCCGATAAGCAGTCTACAAGTGTTGTTCAAACAGCTTCATTTCTAAGATGGAAGGGGAAAATTTTGTACACTTCAACGTAATAAATTCTAAGTTTTTGAATCTTATCAGTGTATCTTGATTATTTAAAAAGCATAAAATTAAAATGGGTTTTGATCTTTTTTGTAGCTGTATCTGATTAGTGCCAATCGTTAGGCTCAAATCTAAGCATCTTTTAATGTACTGAACTGGAGCGTTATGCTTAATGAAAACATGTTGGTCATTGAAACAAATCAAGGCTCTCAGTTGTGCTTGTGGGGGGTTGGAAAGATCTTCCAGTGAAACAATTACCAGATGAACAACCATAGAGAGGGTAGATTACATTTTAAAGAGGAGACAAGTTCCTCAACCTAGGAGCAAACTTGAAATAGGCGTTCGATAATTACATGTAAATAGACAATTCCAGAATTTAATGTATACTACTGATGTTAGCATCTTTATCTTGGATAATTCACAATAAGCAAATTATGTGGGTGAGAAAAAATTTGAGCATACGAAAACAAACCGGCAAAAGGGAGAATTGGAACTCAATCAACTGGGTAAGAGTTTGAAGAAGTTATCATGTTTTCTTTACTCTGCATGTTTGTCTTTATCTCAGTTAACTTCTGCATATTCTGTGTCAATCTTGCTTCATTTAACCTGAAATTGCTAGATATACAGCCTCAAGCATTTACATGTGCGGACAAAGATGGAACTCCAAGATGCTTTATTTATGTCTCAATGTGAAGAAAATGACTGCATAATCGAGGTTGAAAGTTCCATTGATGCCAATACTTCCTTCCACAGGTTTTTTAAAAATAATTATTCAAGTTAAATCCCTTTAGGTTTTTAGATTTTCCTCCCTTTTTTGAGAAATAAAACATCTTTCAAGGTTACAACTGTTATTTGCTGTTAACACTTTATGATCATCGTGCTAGTGTCTTGAGGAAGTTCACTTGTCAAGCAGTAGACCATGGTTTACGGATCTTTTCAAGGCTTTATTTTGAAGAATCTGTTTCACCTGGACTCTTCCTTTGCAAGATAAGTAGAATGGAATACACATTGTTCAGGTCCTTAGCTATTCTCCATATTAGGTTATAGATGCCCTGAGTATCTAAGATAATGGTAATTAGAGAGGTTTGGTTGACTAAATCTCTTTCCCCTCTTTCTTTGGGTGATAGAATCCCTTTATGTGCTCCAACTACAACCTCATCTAGTTCTATTGATCAAGTCAATCGGGGGTTCTTCAGAGAAGGTTTTATTTTGTCTTTGTTTCTTGAGGACGGAAGTCTTGGGCTTGGTGAGGTTAGTTTTACTTCCGATTTGTTGTACAAGCAATTGAGTTCCCTCTTTATTTAACATTGATGCTTCAGATATGAGCCTGCCAATCTCAAGCTTCCTATTGATCCTTACGTACTTAAGCCTACTAGCCCCTTGGGAGAGAGTAGGATGGGTGTATTACTAGATTACTTAACTACGTGTTGCTATTCAACAGGTTTCACCCCTTGAAATTCACAAAGAGAACCTACTAGATGTGGAAGAGCAACTTAAGTGTCTTCTTCATATATTTAAGGGAGCCAAGATCAGCAGCTCCATTCCTCTACTACGGGGTTCATTTTCATCTTGGATTTTCCATGAACTGGGAATACATGTAGGTGCTCCTATAATTCAGCCCATGCAATTATTTTCGTCTAAAATCAAAATGTCAAATTTAATAAAAGGACTCTTTTTCATGGTGAACCATTTACAGCCACGTTCGATCTATCCAAGTGTTAGATGTGGCTTGGAAATGGCTGTTCTTAATGCCATAGCAGGGAGAAAAGGTTGCAGCTTGTTAGATGTACTCCAGCATCGGTTAGTTGAAGAAGACGACTTGTCATCTTCGTCAAAAGTTAAAATTTGTGGGCTGTTGGATTCTGGTGGAACTCCATCTGAGGTAGCTCGTGTTGCTAAGACACTGGTCGAAGAAGGATTTCCTGCTATCAAGTTAAAGGCAAGCTGCATTACCATTTTCTGAAGATTCTCTCTTATTTTCTTTCTGCACAGAGTATTCTCACTGTCATGTATCTCAAAATTTTTTGGTTTACAGAACCTACATTGACTTACTAATGGTTTAATAATTGAACAATTGCAGGTAGCCCGACAAGGGAATGTCATGTATGATGCTGCAGTTGTACAGGAAGTAAGGAAGAAGCTTGGCAACCAGATTGAACTCCGTGTTGATGCCAATCGGAATTGGAGCTATGAAGAAGCTATTCTATTTAGCTCTTTGGTGAAGGACTGTGGCTTGCAATATATTGAGGTACTATTCGTGAATGTATCTCATATATCTGGAATGATATATGACAGTTAAAATTGTATGAACCTTTAAAGAGATGCTAAGATCTTAATAAACAGTCTTCATGCTATACTGCCTTTGTAGTCTTAACACTTCTTGTTATTCTGGTCATTATTACGTTGATGTACTCACGTTGCTCTTTAATTTCTCAACTCAGGAACCAGTTATGGATGAAGATGCTATTGTTAAATTCTGTGAAGAGAGTGGTTTGCCTGTTGCACTGGATGAAACTATCGATGGTATTCAAGATAATCCTGTGAAAGAACTTGCAAAGTATGTTCATCCCGGAATTGTTGCTATAGTAAGTGACATACATGTAAAACCCTTATTTCTATTCAGTGGTCAAATATATACAAATGCTAGAAACTTTATATTGAAGATGCCCAGTAGACCCCCCAGCCTAGCATAGAAAAAAAGGAAATATGTTCCCTACAAACTCATTTTAGTGAAGAGCCACGAGAAGTACACTATTTAATATATATTGCATACTGATCTTGACTTTTGATAAGTTGTATTATTCCTTCTAGGTTATAAAACCCAGTGTCATTGGCGGATTTGAAAATGCAGCATTAGTAGCAAGGTGGGCACAGCAACACGGAAAAATGGCTGTTGTTAGTGCTGCATTTGAAAGTGGTGTAGGTTTGTCTGGATACATACACTTATCCTGTTATCTGGAGCTTCAGAATGCAGAAATAAGAAAACTGATGGATATTCAACCAGCTCCATCTATAGCCCATGGTCTAGGAACTTTCCGTTGGCTTGACGAAGATGTAACTGTCAATCCTCTCAGAATTGGTCGTGACCCTCATAGTGGCATTATAGAAGCATCTGTTGCTGAGGCTAATCGACTTCTAAAAAGTTTTCAAATCAACCAGAAGGTTGTTTGTAGAAAGTTTACTGAAGAGCAAGTTCGTAGGTACAAATTAACTGTAGACTCAAAGGGGTTCTCTTATTTAATAAAAGTTCTAGAGGTTGGACAAAGAACAAACGTAAGTAAGAGTTTCAAAGCAATTGTTACCTGTTTTTCCTTTCTGATAACGTCAATCATCTGCTGGTATCATTTAATGCTTCCATATTCATTGGAGCCTTTCATCGCTACGTGATTGGAATCAAAATAATTGCTCCAATAAGAAATGTTTGTTACTGAAACGGTGTATTTTTCTTCTAGCAGTAATTTCCTACTACAATAAGCTAGTAGGTTTCTTTCTTTTCAAACCCGTGGGGTCTAGTTTCATATGATATGACAGACATGATGCGTTGAAAACATGGTTGGATGAAATCTTTTATTATGACTTATGAAGCAGAGTTTTTCTCTGTTTTGTTTTGCAGTGTATTTCTTGAACATGCATCTTCATGCATTTGTAGCATCCATTTATTTGTTGTGATGACATCTGCTTAACAATAATCATGCATTTTCTTATGTTCCTCCTACTTAGAGCTTCTGCAGGATAATGTGCTATTATTTCTTCATGGATTTCTTGGGACTGGTGAAGACTGGATTACAATCATGAAGGCCATCTCAGGTTCAGCTAGATGCATTTCTATTGACCTTCCTGGTCATGGGGAATCAACAACACAAAAGAATGATTGTGATGTTCATGGTGTGGAGGAACCAAGTTTTTCTATGGAGGTTGTTGCTAATCTACTGTATAAGTTGATTCATCATCTTGCTCCTGGTAAAGTTAACCTCGTAGGGTATTCAATGGGGGCTAGGATTGCCATGTACATGGCCCTGAGATTTGCTGATAAGGTTGTTTATGAAGCCTTCTAACTTTTCAAAATTTTTCATGTATGTTTAATTCTTAAGAAAGATGAATGTCTGTTTTGAAGATTGGAAGAGCTGCTATAATATCTGGAAGCCCTGGATTAAAAGACAAGATGGCAAGAAGAATCCGGAGAGTTAAAGATGATTCTAGAGCACGAATCCTTAAGGCCTATGGTTTAGAGAGCTTTCTTGAAGCATGGTATCGTGGGGAACTATGGAAAAGGTGACTTTATTAGTTTTACTTTATCATCACCTTGAATGCTATTGTTGAGCCCATTCCTATAATCTTTTACTTTGGTTCCTAGCAGTTTAAGAGAACATCCACATTATAGTCAAATTATTGCCAGCCGATCGAAGCATGATGATGTGCAGCATCTTGCAAAAGCTCTATCTGATTTAAGCATTGGAAGGCAGCCGTAAGTTTAAAATGGATGAATCTTCCTATCTTTACAGTTTCTAAATCTAAATCAAAATTGGCAACAATGTTGGTGAAATGCACATAGACACCTTTATTGCCACAACTTTGCATGCATAGTCAAGTTACGGAGGTAAAAGACTCCCGAAGCACCAAAATGTGTATTACAATAAAGCTTTCAAATTGGGAATTAAGTAGAAAGACTACAATCTTTAGAAAGCTGTTTACTTTTACACCAGTACAAAGCATGAAACATAATCAATTCCAGATTATGGGATGAATCATATCAAGTATTCTTTTCCCTTTCTGCATGATAGGCAATTGTGGGATGAATTAAAATGCTGCAAAACACCTCTTTCAATCATTGTTGGGGAGAAGGATACAAAATTCAAGACAATTGCACAGCAAATTCTATCTCAAATTGATATGGGCAGGAAGATCAAGGATGACCCAGTTGTTTCCCTCCATGAAATAGTCGAGATCCCGGACTCAGGACATGCTGCCCATCTGGAGAATCCTCTTGCTGTTATCAATGCATTAAGTAAATTTCTAATAAGGAGTAGAACACAGTTATCCTACAATTCAGACTTCTCAGGTACCATTTTCATAACCTTTGACATCCTAAAATTAACATTGATGTTGATGATTATAAAAATAGTGACCTCAAGCATAATTCTAAATGGCTCGGTATTTATCCTGTTTATTTGTTAGGCCAAGTCGCAATTACGCATGAGAGCCACCTTTTGTAAGGGTGCTGCAGCCTGTATTCAGCATCAAATAAGAGAGTTGGGATTCAGATTCTATAAAGTTGGTGGCTGCAACAAGTCTTGGATACATCATATGCCAACATGTACAGGTTCTTAGCGTTTTATTGTCACAGGCAATTATATCCTCCTGTTATTAAGTTCAGTCATAGACAAATTTCTTTTGACTGGCTATAATTATTCTTTGCTGCTATTTTAGATAGGGAATGATCTCTTTGAACGGCCTTGAAAATCTTGTATGTTACTATGAACTGGTTTTACAAAGGAATTTGATGTACTCCTAAGAGGGGGTTACTTCTTGTTATATACTTATAGTTTTGAGAATCAGGCAGTTAGGTCCCAAAATAACATATTAAGCTGATAGAATGCACCGAAATACGAAAAAGAAAATCGTAACGAATAACATTTCTGATATAGGCCTTCTAGGAGTAAAATGATACTTCCTTGAACCATGACTTGAGAAATGAAACTATGTTAGGATAAAGTGCTGGAGCAGAAAAATTGAAGCAAACAATTAACTCATAGTTTAAGGTGGAAAGTAATTATCCAACTTGTAGAAAAAATCTTCTCAAGGATTGGGATTCTTCAGCCTGACTAGAAAATGGAATTTCCATTCTTTTGACAACTTTCTTTTTGCTTTCTTGACATACACAAGGTGTCTAGGACTGGAAAATCCGCTTGAAATATTCGAAAGGTTCCTTTTGAATTGGGAGACTTGTACAAGTCTCAGATTGTATGAACTCTATTATTACAGGAAACGTCTGAAATGACCCCCCTTGAAACTGACAAGTAGGGGAAACATCTAAATATGTCTTAATCCTGCCATTGTCTCCGGTTAAAAACCGTCTGATACACAGCCCAAATCAATAAAACTACAGCTGAGGCCATAAATGCCATAGAGTAGTAGCTGCAAAACCTGGCAATTTTTGGCTTATTAGCAGAAAGCATCAAGGCGTTAAATGCGCCTGAGAATGCCATCACAGTTGAAAGTAGAAAGGCATGGAAAGTTGACGGAAGGCCTTTGAAGATTACAGTAGGCACAGGATTCCCATTCACTTGCTCATAAGGAAACAAGAGAATGAGGGTAACTGTTTTGAAGGAGCAGCACAATATACAGTACATCAGATTGGTTGAAATGTCCAATCTTGAACATGCCTTACCAAGGATGTGAAAATGCTGGGGAAAAGAAGTCTCTGGACTCATATTGATAGCTCCAGCGTTCTTCATTGCTGGACAATATGAGGGAACCTCATTGCACATCTGTGTTGTTTAGACGTATTTATAGTTGTTGAAGAGTTTATTCTAATAAGCTGCTTCTGCTGGGAAGCTTCTTATCTAGACTTGATCCAAGAAAGAAAAAAAAAAAAAGTCCATATGAGAATCTTCAAGGCAACTTCATAAAGCATGGCTGTTGATCTTTGAAGCTTCTGGGAATTTGCACTGATAGGATAGAGGAAGTAAAGAGTAAAGAAAAAGTGAGTAAATGAAAGAGAATCCAAAGAGCCATGGAAATGTGTGTGCCTCACATTCCGCCAACATATAAAGACCCCATCCCCTGACCCTGACCCACTTTCCACTAAGAAAGGCAACTACTTGACTTCACTGCTCTTTGCTACCAAAGTACTTAGAAACTTTCCCCTCAAGAAACTGGCTTTACTCTTTTTTGTTTCTTTCGGTTATAACTTATACATGTTCTTAATTTTAAGCATACATTTAGATTCCATAATTCAAAAAAATTAATGTTTATTATTATTATTTTTAATGTGTATATAAGAGAGGGAAAAATAGTAAAAAATATTTCGAATTTATATTTAGTAGCTAGGTGGGAATATAACTTTTCTTCCCAAAGCTATCTCTTAAGACATTATAAGTGAGCGACGATCACAAGCCATTGAAACTCACCACAGCCATGGCTTCCAATTCACCTCCTCCTCCTCCAGATCCTCCTCCATTTTCCTTTCGTAATGTCATAAAACAAGCTTTATCCCGATCTGCTTCCATATTATCCAAATTAGTTCCTCAATTACACGAAAGTAATTCAGCGAATCGATATCAAGTCATTACCAGATTTATTCACGCAATGGCGCTCAATCGAAGGAGATTCGACGCACTGCAACATCGCACACTTCCATTGTACGTGGTTAATGAATTCCAGAGCTATCCAATTCCAAGGGCGAACCGTTCCAGGAGCGTCGGGGAGAGGAATTTGAGTCTCACTTTTCAGGCGGCCGTAGGATTGCTCGTCTCTCCACAGATTCCGCCTTCTCAATTCCTACAAATCGCGAAGGTAATAATGGTGATAAACTATGGCGTCTCGTTTTGTGGCGTTAATCTTCGGGATTCCTTTCCGAGATTCGGAAACAATCTCGAGAAATTCGGTTCAGTACTAACCTCGATGATGTTCTACCTAATGGCGATCTCCTTCCTTCCGGGGAGTTTGTGCTGGATAATTTGGTCGGTGTTTGGTCTGTCAATGGCGGCCTTCTTGCTCTCGCTCTTCAGATGATCAGTGGAGAGCCCATCCAAAATTAAAAATATAATCAATTGAAGATTTATTGTCATTTTAAGGCCTTCCATTATTTTTGAAGAGCTTAAAACGACACCTGACAACTCTGCCTGTGTCGTTTATGTCTATTCGACACAGCCGGTCCCAAGCCCGGGTTCAAAGAGGAGGGGCAACATGTCGTCTTCAGATTATTATTATTATTATTAATTTCTTTTCTTGTTATTGTATCCAAATAACAAAATAATTAATAAAGTTCGTCAAACATCTCTATTCTTGGTTTCAATTTTTCTCGATTTATGAGGAACGTTTTTTTATTAACAAATTCAATGAATTTATAAATTCTATTTTATATTAAAATAACTAAATTCTATTAGTATATTTTACTATATTAAAGGGTCTGTGATATCGATAGAAATATATTATTGTTATATTGAATTGCGTCATCCAGAAAAAGGGAATCGAGTGATTCTCTCTCTCTTTTTTTTTTTTTTTTCTTTGAAAGTATCGACAGAAACTATCACAAAAGAGATGGTCTGAATCAATATTTTTTTTTTAAGCAATTCAAAATCAAATAAGTTTAGTAAAACATCCGAAGTATCCATTTTGTCATTTATGAATAAATTATTCTAATTAATAAGAGCTCAACGGGACCTACCCCTGTTTTTTTCTGATTCGGGCGGATCATGTTTAGTTCTTTCACCTCCCATGTCTACTGCTACTGTCAAATATGGTGGCCAAACTTCCGCATAGAAATTAGAAATTTAAAATTATTTTTAATTCCATATTTCATATTTAATTCTTATTTAAAATCATCATTTTGACCAAATATTAATATCTTTTATTTGTGTATTTTTAAAGAAACCCATTTCTTTATTATGTGGCCCATTTATATCAATTCAATAAGCTCGTGGGCTCCCAGCTTCTAATTGGGCTTCATTCTGGATTTATTGGGCCGTTAATGGGTATACCATCTTAAAATAAATAAATTAATAATAATAATAATAAAGTAGCATTAGCTTCTTAAAAGTATCTATTTAAATGAATTAATTAAAATTATCTTCAACATTATAAATAAATACCTCAAAAAAAAATGCTAAATGTTTTTAAAAATATTATTCTTATTATTTCAAAAGAACAAAAAAAATGTAGGTTGAAAATAAGAAAAACATGAAGAATATAATATAAATAAGAAAAACGTGGAGATTTAGATTTGAAGGGTACCTAACGCCTTTACAACTCCATCTTAACAAGTAAAACACTTTCTTTAGATGCGACTATTATTAATATAAAGTCGAGAAAAAAATGTAAAAATAGTATGGAAAAAAAATAAGAAATGATACGGACGTATAACAAATCGAGTATGTAAATTAGTAAAAGAGGAGGAGAGTTTGGCAAACTCTTTTAGGTATTAATGTATAGATCGTACCTTGCCTACTCATTTTCGTAACATTTATGGATAAGATTGTGACATTGTGAGAAACTAAAGAAATATCATCACATATGTTCGAGCATATTCTGGGGTTGGTGACGAGATTATATTCCATGTCCCTATTTCCATCCCGTTTAATATAAATATATTTTCAACACGCACACGCCCACACAAAATTCAACACCTTTTGAGAAATGAAATAGGTGACGAGGATAGAGACGAAAAAGACTTAAACAATCCATCCATCCATAACCAATAATTAAAAATCATGAAGAGATTAATTAAATGTTAACGTGAACAGTGAAATTAGGTGTAAGAAATATTATTGTCCATTTAATTATTAATTAATGAATAATTAATTATATTTTGAAGTATGCGAAATTAATTATTACCATTTTAGATTCGTAATTATTTACAAATCTCAAACGTGCCTCCTTTAATTGATGCTTATAACCTCGCTTTATTCCTGCCTACAATCATTATTTTCATTTTTAATTAAGTATTTAATGTAACACATAATTGGCCATAAATTAATATTTCTTTAATATTAATTTGATCAATCTAATCCTTACATTATAAAAACATTTCATGCATTTCTATAATCTCACTAATTAAATATATATGGTCTTACAAATCATTACCACATTAATTATTTACTACACATGTTTTCTATTTATAAACTAATAAACATGATTTTTTATTTATTTATTTAAATTTTATTAAAAAAAAAAAAAAAAAAAAAGTGAGTGATTTGGTTGGTTGTTTTGTCGCTTTTTCCCGAAAGAAGAGCCATTCGGAGTGGAAGCCACGTAATCCGTTAATTAAGTAAATATATATATTACAAAAATAAATAAACACCAACTTTAATCATAATCTCTGTCGTTTACACAAATGACAACATTTAATCCAAACTCCAAAATTATTCCAATTCCCACTTTTTTGTTTTTTTTTTCCTTTTTTTAAAAAATTAAATTTAATCTTTCCTTTTCCCCTTTTGAATCAATTTCATGTTTTGTTTAGATTCTCCTAAAAATAATAATTATTTAATTTTTATAATTTATACCAAGTTAAACCATTTAGCGACTAATTTAATACATAATCATAAATTTATAATAAAAAAATATTCTCTCTATTAGTGTGAAATTTTTTGGAAAGTCCAAAAAAAAGTCATTGAACAACATCATACTATTGTGAAGAGTTGTATTTATGTGACACATATTTCATAAATCCATAATTTATTTATATAATTATAATTTAGAAAAGTGGTTGTTTTTAATTTATTTGGTGTGAAATTGGGAATATTGTAAAGCAAAAAAAAAAAAAAAAAAGTTATAAAGCAGAGAGAAAATGTATTATTTGAAAGCATAGGTGTTGGTGTTTTCAAGTCCCAATGCCAACTAATGATAATGACAGACAAGAAGGACACAGAGATAGAGGTTGGAGACACTAATTATTAAATTAATATTTCTATTTATTTCCAATTTTTCAAAATAAGTAAACTCAATTATTAATATATTTTAGTATCAGCATTGGTCGGATTTCCGATGCTTTCCTGGCCGTCCGATTTGCTTACCTTTTACTTTTGACCCCCCCTGTTCTTTTGGGGATTTTAAGGTATTTATTTATTTATTGAAGGGAACATGGAATTTACGAATATTATAGTAAATTGGGTGCCTTTTTCCCATTGCGAAATTCTTCTAATTTTATAAATTTTAAAAGCTATTTCTTTTAAAATTATTTTATTTATTTAAAGAAAAAGAATTATGGTGAAAGTAAGTAATGCATAGGTTAATTAGAGGGCGTAATTATGTATAAAGATGGCATTAATTAGATCCTCTACAACGCACTTCACACCCACCTTCGAAATAATGGGATTAAAATTATTGGTAATAAGGATTAAAAAAAAAAAATCTTAAAACATCTATAATAATAATAATAATAATAATAATAATAATAATAATTTGGAATTTAAAAATCATGTATGGATTTGTGATTTGCTTAGCATGCATGAGTTTCAGACAAAGCTCATGGCCACGTGGCCCAGCTTTTAGTTTTGTCGCTTCATCAACTGTCTTTTTATGTTTCATTAAAACATCAATAAATACACCTTAAAAACACACAAAATAAAATCCACTTCAAATGAATTACTTTTTCTTTTTATTTAAGAAAACTATATATATAAATATATAATATTTAAAATTTTAAAGTTTCAAAATTTCAAAATATGAGTATATATATATATAGATTTTAGCACACGAACCAAATATATGGAACAAATAAATGAAGTAAAAAGAACATTGAAGATAAAATTACTTTTTAATTTTCTACAAATTTCTTTTAATAAGTCATGTTTATTGATAAAACGGAGTTTGAGCCCGAAATTTTGATAGTATTTTTTTATAAATGTGTTTTAAAATTAAGAAGGGCATAGAAAAAGAAATAATTTTGGAGGTGAAAAGCAATTTGTGGCAACAAAAGAAAGGAACCCAACAACAATAAAATTTCTATATCTAAGATAGCAACAAAATAATAGGAAGTAGTATGAATATGCAAGCATTTGGCATGGTATGGTTAGTAAATGGGCACAATAATTTGTATTATTCAACCCAATTATGAGCTATTTACTACTCTCTCCTGCCCGCCGGCCTTAGTATCTTTTTGCCTTATGATTTTTCATTCCCCTCTTAATTCACATTTAATTTAATATCCGTAGTTATGGTTGAAGATTGTTGGGATGGAGTCGACTAATTGAGATGATCGTGACTTTATAAGCAAAGAATACTATCTCAATTGATTCATGGCTTTTTGGGAAGCTCAAAATAAAACAAAAAGAGCTTATGCTGATGAAAGTGGGGGAGATCAGTGATTCATAGTTACAAGCAACCACCAATTTCTTGCCTTATTTACTAACTTTTTGTTTTTAATGATATAATAACTCGTTTGAAACAATGCCCCCTTTTCTTTTAATTTAACATTTATACTCATTTATTAGGTTTGATACAAAGCTTACATTTTTGGGTTTATAATCCAGAAGGTTTGGATATGAATTTGATGACCCATTTGTTGTTTTAGTTCAGGAGTTCTTAAAAGCTTTCAACTTTTTTAATTATTGGATTGGATTCTCATTTGGGTCATCTCAATTAAAGTCATAATCTACGTAATATTTTATCCTTTTCAATTCATAGATGGGGTTTCTTAAAAGTTAAGAGTTTTGTAACTTTAGAGAGAAAGAAAGGCAAAAAAACAAAAAGGGAGGAGAAAATTAGAGACGAATTCAAATTTCAAAAAAGTAGAGAGATGAAAATGGAAAGATGGAGTAAAAGATGTGAAAAGAAAACCCATATTAATTTAATTCATCTTAATGGTTTTAATGATCAAGAGCTCTCATTTTCATGCAAGTTTGGCTATAAATGCACGACCTTTACTGTTCTAGCTTCCCTTTCACCATTGCTTAAATAACCCATGTCCTCTGCGTATCTTTACACTGCCAATCTCTCCTTCCCTATCAGTATTTGATGCAATAAAATCTTCCTTTTTCTGTGCGAGCATCTCTCTGAGGCGTGGCAGAGCAGAGGCTGGGGGTCTGCGCTCAAAATTTTGAAAAGTGGTTCGAATATGAAGCCCAAATTCAATGGAATTTACTCGAACAAAAGCTTGAATGAGCTATGGAGTACTGAAAGTGGTACGTTTTGTGAAATGGGTATCTTTCTCTTTCTACTTTTGGTGCCGTTTTGTTTCTCTGTGATTCATAGCTTGGTTTGTTTTTCT